TCAGGTACTCAAGACCATTAGAGAAGTGATATCAAAGGGTTTCTATGGCTTCTTGCATGCAATGAAACATGATCAACCTTCTTTGCCTTCAGCATCATTTCCAGTTAGAAACAATACTAAACTGGGTGCAGACAGGCAAAACTATTTTAGTGTCATGGACAGAAAACCAGGGACATGAAAAACAGATGGAACACTAAGGCAGCAAAGCACAGCAGCAGATGTGGCAGGTCACTGTTGAAAAGGAGGCAACTTGTTAATCCCTGTTGTTCAGTGCATGCGGCTTCTTGATTTCTTTAGGTCAGAGTGCCTCCAGGGTTCATTGTATTTTTACACTTGCTTGTTTTATTTTCTGGTGTGGGCAGCTGACAAACCCTGAGCTAAATAGGTGGGATGGGCCAAACAATTTTCATACAGTAGCCCAGTGATAGCACAATGTTAAAAATATGAGTTACCATGTGAAATATGTTCCTTAGCCTCATGGGTCACCAGGATGAATGAACTGAATTGTTTTCTATGCAGCAAAACAAGGGTTTTCAAGGTTTTCTTGCACAACAGGAATTTCTCTGTTATGATGTCTGCTTTCTGTTTTGTACTGGGGAGACAATGGGAATCAGTGTTGAGAGGCCTGGCTCATACAATGTTATCTTAGGAAATGATATAGGGCACACAGGCACTCTATCTCAAAGAGACATACAAGTGTTCCACTTCCATCCACTTCATTTCATCCACACTTCCAGCTATAGCACATTTCTCAGCTCCTTTGGTGCATACAAATTTAAATCCTACTGGAATGTCTGTTTAATTATTCTCAGTGCTAGGAGTGCTGACCCAGGGTTATTTATGTCCTTTTGTCTTCAAAATCAACACTGACCAGCACAAAGTGGTCCTGCTTTGAGGTGCTTTATAAGTGCTGTTTGAGGTATAAGTTGCCTTTGAACATTGCTAAAATAATGGCACTGAGGCCAGCCGATTAACTCCGTAACAACACAACTATTCAGGAGCCACCATCAGATGATTTGATGTAGGGTTTATTTTACCCTGCTGCCAGGTTGAAAACATCTATTACAAAAGACTCATTGTAATTACAAAACAATTTCACAGGAAACTGCTTTGGATTTTTTTACACTAGAAAGAAGAATGGGTTTGAGGTTTGTGGCATAAAATAAGCCTTTAAGGAACAGAAATTAGTATAATTAAAAATGTCATTTCCTCATAAGATGTTAAGTATATTATAACAATAGGAAATATGCTAATAGCAGCCATAGCTCAGATGTTCTAGAAACAACACAAAATGAATTTGATCAACCACAAACACACTCCACATCCCAGAATTCACCAGTGTGCCATTTTCCCCTTCATCCCTGCCTTCACTTCTAAACACTCTTGACTTATTGAGTAAATAATTATAATTTCCACATTTCATATTGCTAGGGTAATGAGAAACAGTGATGATATATTCTGGAGAAACTATGTAAAACAGCCATGTTGATCATTTTAATACAGAATTAGTGCAAGATCCAAACTGGGCATTTCAAGCTTTATGGTTCCTGAGCCAAAGCAGCTATCAAGTCTTTGATTTCAAATATCACACACAGTTCAGATCAAATCATATGAAGACATTCATTCTTTTTCACTCGTTACCACTGTGTAGCCTGTTAAATAGAGTTGTACTGCCACCTACTTGTCATATTTGATCAAGCAAAATTCTATCTGCATCTGGTAGTCAGTAGGCTCCATTATATTGTATGCTGCTACACTAACATTTTACATTTTAAACATTTTTCTGTTGTGTTAATAATAATAATGATGTGCAGCATAAGAAATATATTCTTTTTACAAAACATAAAAATCAATTCCAACACACATCCTGATATAATCAGTAATCATCAAGGTACATCACTGATATTTTACTTACATTACAATACTTACATACGTCTTCATTAATTTTAATTGATTTTCAGTCTTTTAAATTAATAATTTTCAAGATGACGTATTATCCATTTTATTTAAGTAAAGGATATTAATTATTCCACCACTTCTGTACAGCTTGAAGGTATTAGTTCTTTATTTTAATTTTGCAATTATTTGAATGTTGACTTTTCAGTCCATTACAGACGTGACTAGATTATACATCTTTATGACTTGAATAATATGAGAAAATTAATTCAGAACAGGAACTTTCCTGGTATCCCCCACCACCACTCTTAAAGGAGAAAAACAAGGAAGGAAAAGGAAAAACATCTGCCCTGAGTAGCATGAGTATGAGGACAGATCTTTTTCTTGAGTTATCATAAAGATTTGAATAATAGTTTGCTTAATAATGGGTGCCTTGTTTATGATTTTGTGATTGTGTAAAATATGAATCACAATTTATTTCATTCGGAACCGCATGTCAGTTTGCAAAGACCATAAAATCCAGCGTAAGGTCTTTTGACAGTGAAGTCCTGTCATTTGTTGCTACAGCTTAAAGAGGAATGGAAATGGTTGATTTGGTACTAATACAGACACAAATGACTTGATTTAACAATGAATCCTTCTGCCCTTCTCTGTTTTTTGTTTGACTGTTTTTATAAATATTAAATTAAGTTGAGAAAGTGTTTAAATTGCATCTTCCCCTCCTACAGCTGCATAATAGTCATCTAGTGTCAGACTCTACACACACAGTAGGCTACATCATTCTGCACAGTGATGCTAAACCAAAACAGTTCAGTGAAGTAACGATAAAATAAACACATTTTTCAGTTAAACTCAGCGAATTTATGTCCTTGATAAAGTAACTTGTCCCACAATTTCTGTACTGAAGACTAGACCCAAGGGGAAACTACCCTGTGCAGCAACTTATATGAGTCAGAGCCATGTGTAGAACAGTTTCACACATAATACCACTTCATGGAATTTCTTAAAAGAGGTGCAGTGAGAAATGGAACGAACGTACATTATACACAGTCACTGCATAAATTGTTCATTTTTAGCATAGCTGGTTTGAAAACAGTATCTCTTTATAACAGGGGTTTTCAAACAGTGGCCTGTGGCCCCTGGTGGTCCACGAAGGCATTGCACGTGGTCCCTGACCATTCATTCAATAATGTACTGTAATTTCACTATAGGAATCTTTTAAGCAATCCCATCTGCAACCCTCTTCAGGATAAGTGGTATAGATGATGGATGCATGGATGGATGGATGGGTGAATGGAAGGAAGCACTGTCAGGTATTACTTATGGTTTGTGAATAATCTAACATTTAGAAAAGCCAAGGTGAATTTCAGGATTAAAATAGTGTGCCCATCTAGTTTATCGATCCCACAGTGGGCCTCAGATGATTTCTTAGTCTGAATGCTGGTCCCTGGGTCAGAATTAGTTGAAAACCCTGTGCTAAACAAATGAATGAGTGGACTATACTGAATAAAATGTAATGAAGTTAACACATTGATCTCATCTGCTGCTGATGTGTGTGTTTTTTAAATAATTGTGCATTAATTATTTGTGCTTCTCTGGATTAAAATGACAGCTCAGCATTTTCTTTACCCATTGCCATGGTGAATTGTAGTATCGGAGCACCACTGATGATGGAGTTTTATAGTTTTCATGCACAAGTGTCTAAGAATGGCCTCAAGAAAATCAGCCCACAGTTCAGGGTTAAATTCGGAGTCTGGAATACCCACCAGCAAACCTGCAGCCTTCCTGTGTGTTTCCCTGGTGCTGCACAGCATCATTTTCACAATAAAAATGAGAATACAACTAAATAAAAGAACCCTTTGAAAACAATTGAAGTATTACTTTACCACAAGGTTTTCTGAGATGTTTTGAATCTTAGCTTGGTAGTTTTCTATTTAGATGTTATGTGCAGAGAGCTAACTCTTATGTAGAATTCCAATATATGTTCTTTTAAACACCACAGTGCTGTGATGAGCACTTGTAATTATATTGTATTCTGAATACAATGACAAGAAAGACATCTTATTTCATCTATCTTATCTTATAATAAAATAGTTACTTAGACTTTAAAATGATTGTTTCTTAATGTCCTAGATAATGTCATACATTTGCTTTAAAGATATTACAATGAAACATTCAGGTTTGGATAAAATACGATTGAAAATGAATGTGGGTCATTTTAACCTGTCTTGTGCATTAAAGGGTGCAGAACATCTTGCATATCAGAGGGTTAAATATGACCAATAAAATTCAATTAAAATTAAAACTACCCGTGTCATTATTTTTGAAAGCATCTCCAATTTACTTTTAGTACCTTTTCACAGTACGTTATGCATTTGCTGTCGACTGCGCAACAGAGTTGCGCATACCCGGAAAAACATGAATGACCCACGTGTTGTGAACATGATGGTTGTAGGTCTGTGGATGGAGGTCAGATTAGTCTGAACCTAACTCCAGATGTCGTGTTCTGACACGCTTAACCTGACCCAACAGTTACGCTGTATCTGTCGTGCCCAGTCATAATCTAAACAAACCCTGACCCAAAGCCATGGAGGGGGCGCTACCGGAAACACTATGAAGGGGATCAGATTTCGAACCAAAATAACTCTGTCGGCCCGCGGTGGATGACAGTCTCGAACAGTTCTGGGATGAGAGCATGAGGATATTTGCGTCAAGCTCACAGACACAAACAATTGCCATCACAATTGTACCATTTTGCTTTCAAAATAAACTGTATAGCTATAGGTACGGGATTCAAATATTCATTAGGTATCAATTTAATAGTCTACTTTATACATTCCATAATATAGCCTATAGTCATTTGTGATATGAATGTTATATTATATGCCTATGTTGTCTTATTGTCTTGTCAAATGACTGCTTATACATAGGCAATCAGTAGTGTCAGTAGACTGGTGTACCAAATGCGTTATGTAGGATACTTTTGTGAAAAGGGCTACATAAAATCAAGTGTATTTTTTACACATTTTCCCTTTGGCATAACGACCCATTGTAAAGTTTGATCGCCTTGTATATAGCAGTTTTAATGGACGTCAACGAAGCTTATATTGTGAAGGTTGGCAACGGAAGTTAGTCTAGTTCATTCTGGTATGGTTGGCTGGGCTTCCTAGTTTCGTTGCTGAACGGGGTTTATTGCTTCGCGAAGAAACACGTGTTTTGTTAAATACTATAGTGTTACTTTTCTTACAAAGTGTTTCTGGAATATGATGGAGAAAAGTCTCTGAGTTCATCCAGGTTGGCGGCTGTAGAGGACACAAGGTAACATAAATTTAACGTTGTTAGCCCTGGTTAGCTGTTTAGCTAATTAGCCGACAAATGCCAGCGTGCATTTAGCTAAACAACAGTAAGAATCTTTTATCTTAGTTTGTCGACTTTGTATGTGTTTGTGATTTTGTTCAGAAATTATTTCCAAGGTGTCACTATTTTGTAGTTGATGGCAATTGTTTTGTTAGTTTTAAAGGTACTTTTTTACGTATAAATTAGTTTTGCAGCTTTTATTTACTATATTGTCATCAGTTCGTTTCAGGGCATTTGTAGCCTTTTTATAATAGATTAAGTATTCCAGCTATTGACATTAAGGGTTTACAATGTGTTTAACATTTCAGATGGATGAAAAAACATCTGAGGAGGACATGAGGGTTATTGTATCGACGCAACCAGAAAACCCCGCTGAAAGTGCAGAAATGTCATTAAATACACAAACAGATTCAGGAGAAGCAGGTGCTGCGCTTACAGAGTCAACAGCAGTGATGCTTCCTGTAGACAGTGTGTGTGAGACAGAGGACTGTGATAACAATAACTCAGAGGATTCAGACAGATACAAGGACAATGGACAGATGTTGCCAACACACCAGGAGGAGATGGAGGTTGCTGTGACAGAGCAGCTAGAAAATCTAATTGAGACCCCTGACAGTGCAAAGACATCATCAAGTACACCAACACATCCAAAGGAAACAGAAGCTGTGCATACAGATTCAACAGCAGCAACACTTTCTCTAGACAGTGTGTGTATACCAGAGGGATTTGAGGACGATAACTCGGAGGATTCAGACAGGTATTTACATACACAACAGAAGGAATTTATGCTTTTAGCCCAAAGATGCTGGTTACCAATATTTTGCGCTAGGAATGCACCAATACGATAAAACTTTTCAGTGCTCATACTCCTAAAAGTTGTCCAACTCTACACACCGATACCGCTTAACGACAACATTACATCAACCTTCCACTGGTTGGGCAGGTTGTTAGTTGGTGGGGAAGGCATTTCAGTGGTTCAAATGTGTGTTTTTTTTTTTTTTTTTTTTTTTTTTTTTTTATGGGCTTTGGGGGTCCCCCACGAGTGAGTCATTAGTCAAGAGGCCCATCAGTCAACTGAGACTCTTCCAGTCAGACTTCTAGTTTTAGCAGCAGTTTGCTCAATACTTCCCCTGTGGTCAGGGGGAATACCCTCTTCAAGGGTGCTACTGTATGATGCATGGATGTATAAGGTCTGAAGACACTATTTAGCAAAGTGCTGCCCAGAATGATGAGAAAAAGACAACAAAACCCACTAGGACAAGCCACATAAAGGTGAGATTTGTAGTTTAATACAACTGTTTTCAAAAACCATAGTCTAATTTTACAAGAGAAAAGACTTGAACAGTCACAACAGTGTGGCCGGTTTTGCATATGTGGCTCTGGTTTGTTTTCCAGTTTCCATTAAAGTGTAGCGCATAGCGGTTACCCAACTTTTTCTGTGACATGCATCCTTCTGAACAGGGCTAGGAAGCTAACAAATGTGCTGGGAAAACATTTTAATGAGGAATTTTAAATAAGAGGAATCATAAACATATATTTAGCAGTGCAAGCTGGTACAGATCAAATGTAACAACATTCGCTGTGGTTAACTGACGAGAGAAGCTTAAACATGTTGGTAAACTAGGCTATAACCACGTCTCAGAATTAAAAAGTGCCTATACGAGCATTGTTTCAACAGAAATACAAGTGTGCTTCCTGTCTTGTTATTCAGACAAATCCATATGGCAGCCTGACATTATATATCGTCAATTTAAATAGGTCACAGTTTAAATCTTGCATCATATGCAGCTCTCTATTGATTTTTAAATGCTCAGAAATATGTTCCTGTCACTCTTTTGCATCTGATTACTAATTTTCAGGCTATATATAAGGTAAAAAAAAAGAAAGAACAGATAGTGCAGCCCAATCTGAGTCAACTGACAAAATTCTTAGCCCTAAAGTGACAGTGACAAAAGAAAAGCCAACTGTGACTGCTCTGCTTTGTGTTTGTCTATGAGTGTCCCTCCCTCCCATAACACACAGACATGGGGCATATTACAGCGATGTCACTCACCACTTGATATGAGCAGCAAAATCCAACAGTAATAGAGAGAATAATGAATCACAGCAACATGCAGAAATGTGACATTTTCATTCTCCCCGTGGTCAAAATGCCCGGTCCTGTTCACCCACTAAACCCATACGGTGCTTGTTATGCTGATTGTAGTGAATTGTTGTGAACAAGAAGAAAACAAATGCTAATTTAATCTAGTTAACTGCAGGATATAATGAGTCCTGTAAAGGAAAATTAGTTGAATCCTTGTGGACTTGGAGGCTGAGACCAGCAACGCCTCTGCAGCAGTGCAGGAATGTGTCCCCAGAGAGGACAGGGTGTAGCCACAGACAGAAGCCATTTGAAAGTAAAGGCTGCTTGCTTGTTAAATTAAAAATATCATTTATATTGTCGACTGTGATATTATGCACTCCTAAACTTTGACATTCCGGGTGGAGGTCATGAAATCATTTCATCCCAACAGAGGGCTGCCGCCCTGCTATAGAGGTTGAAAACCACTGTATTACAGTATATTGTGTAGCAGGCCACAGGCATTCAGTCAGCTACACAATATGTTTGATCAGAATGATGGCAGTGCTGTTCATTACAAAAGTTTGAAGGGTAAATTGCACCATCTCCTATTATGTTATTTAATTACCCAAAAAAATGTAATCTCTTGAAAATAAAGACTGTGCCAAAAGTCATTATACTTCTATTTTCTATATTAGAAACATTGCATTATTATTATTATTAAGTACAGTTCATGTATTGGGCGGGTACTCGTATTTGAACTCAGTCTGAAAAATAGTGGTATTGGTGCATCCCTATTTTATACCAATCATTGACTTCATATTTGATGCCAGAAAAGTTTTAAACAGGAAGCAAAATTAAAATAAATAATAGATTCTGATGCTGTTCTTCTCCTGTCCTTAGTGACAGCTCTTCCTCTTCCTCCTCTTCCTCATCCTCTTCCTCATCTTCGTCTTCTCCTTCTGCCCCCATGTTTGAGGATGACGATGATGAGGGCTTCAGCCAGCCAGCCCCTGTCAAAACCAGAGACGAAGTCCTGCTTGAGGTCAGTCTGTGATCATATATTTGTGTGTGTTGTTTAAAGGCCGCCAAATGTGGGGATTTAGTCCATCTGTGGAGGGGTTGCCTTGTCCTGGAAAAACCCTGCCAACCTTTGTTCTGGGGGTTGTGTGGAAGACAGCGTCACACCAAGATGCCTGTCTCTGGTAGTAATGGCCAAAGAGCCCCTACTGAGTCACAAGCAACAGTGCCTGTGGAACTGCCATGTGCTCACACCACCGTGATGATCAACAGCTCCAGTTGGAGCAGGCCTGTGACAAGAGGACACTGAGTGATAAGGGGCAAATCCATGTTGAAGGACAGATAGGTGTGATTTTGTCTTTTATTCCCATGTTATGACTGTTGTTCTGTAGCTGAAATGTGAAGTTACAAAGCCAAAAAGAAAACGGCGTCTATCTTTTTGTCCGATTTAAACTTCATCAACTTAACTGTGGTAGAACAAGGAGTAGGAAAAATATACAAATTTAAAAACCTGAATATTATCTTTACAGTGATACCATGGACTGGCATGAGTTTTAGAATTAGAAACACTATTTTTAAAAAGGAGAGTGACATTATATTTGGGGCCTTCTTACTCCGCTACACATTAACATTATATTCTGAGTATTACAGCAACAAATTTAAAGCACACCAAAGACTATATAACAATAAATAAACATTTTTCTTACCTTCCATTATTTAAAATAGCCCACAACAGAGTGATGGGGCGAGAGCTCATTTTCATGTTGTTCTTTATTTATGTTTTCATATTTTTTTTATTGTTAAATATAGTAATGCTATAGTAGGCTATCTCTGTGCTGTTCACCTGACCTGTCCCTTCTGCACTAGCTCTTCCACAGCAGCAGCCTCCTCCATCTGTGCAGCTCTCTCTTCCTGACCCTCTCTTACTGCTTCAGCAGAACTGGGGGAAACCAATAAATATTCAAAACGAATCAACTGGATCACTAATAACACTGATCGGCTTTCCCATGTCTTTTGTCAATATATTCCAATGGATTGAGGGGGCAAACATTCAGCATCAGAGTTTATGAACTAGCAATAATTGTGTTCACTTCCAGAGCGGTCCATATACATCCCATGCTACACAGTGGCAAGAAAAAGTATGTGAACCTTTTGGAATTTTATGGTTTTCTGCATTAATTTGTCATAAAATGTGATCTGATTTTCATTTAAATCAAGAGTACTGAAGAATATAATGTGCCTAATATAACAACGCAAAACAATTCTGATCGTTCATGTCTTTATTGAACACACTCATTCAACATTCAAAATGGTAGTGGAAAAAGTAAGTGAACCCTGGAATCAACTGGTTCATGCCCGCTCTGTAAACAAATGTAATAATAATTATTATTGGTGACATTATTGATGTCTCTCTCTCTCTGACACACACTTTTATATTCACTTCTCTGTTGCATTTGAGTACTCAAAAACAAATTAGTCTGAGGAACACAGCCTAGTGTTTCTCCTGTTTGTACAGTTTTTCAATTAAGTCGATGACTGACGGATTTTAAATGAACAAAACCTGTTGGTTGGGTGACTACGCTACTTAACGTGTTATTGTGTGTAGTGGGCTAATAGACTCAATGTATACAGCAGCAGAACAACATGAAGTGTTTTACAAGACTAGGTAACACTGAAAGTTGGTTTACCTTCACATCAGTAACCATTTCATCCCTAGGTCTAAACAATTGCCACGAGCTGTGTTGAATGCAGAACCATCTGACCAGACATCTTTTTACACACTTTTTGGCCGCATTGTCCTGCTAGCTGGATATCTCTGAATTTTATGAACAGGTTGACTGTAACCTTTAACACCATCAGAACATAGGCTGAAATGTTTTGTTTGTGTATAGGAGCTGCCGGCGGTAGAGGAGGTGTGTTTGTCGTTACCAGAGGATGCAGAACTACAGCCTGTAGGAACAGTCTCCAGTATCATACAACAACTTGGTAAATAAACACACACCCTCATACTAAGGTCAAATTTCATTATTTCCTGTCTAATTTCTAAAAAAAAAAAAAAACAGACATTTTTCCATAAGTGGAAGCTGTGATGTTTTCATTTTGGCACCTCTGTCTTTAACTGCTTTTTCCATTTCCATAGTTATCATCCAGTCTCTAAAAGACACGCCCCCTCTGACTGATGACAGCATCATCTTTAGATCTGATAGACTGGCTGTGGGCAAGGTGGGTGGACCAGCAGAAACCTGGCTGTCCTTTAACATGCCATTCCAGTGACCACAGTGATGTGGTCAGTCGGTCTGTATGGGTCAGCCTACATAAGCCGACCCTCCTTCACAACACTTCTCGACCAGGGCTAGATGCGTATTGGATGCTGCCTCTCTTTGGTGACCTGACACTGCTATAAGAAATTGAACTAAATTCAATGATACCACTGTTTAAATGCCATTTAACTGATTTGCCAAAAAGTAAGGGAGGGAGAGAGAAATAGAAAGCACAAGCATGTAACCAATCAGGAGAGAGTGACTGCAAATGAACAGACTTAGAGGGGAAACATTTTGTTGCTTTCCACATGGTAATAAGTTTCTGTTGTTTGTGTCTCAGGTGTTTGAGGTGTTTGGTCCGGTGTCCAGTCCACTATATATTTTACGTTTTAACTCTATGGAGCATCTGCTCAGCAAGGGGTTGACACAGGGACTGACTGTTTATTATGCACCAGCCATCAAAGAGTACACAGGATACATCCTCACGCAACAGCTCAGACTGTAAGTACACAAATGCATAGAGCATACCACTGAGTTGGACCAATATGAAAAGTATTCACTTTGCCTTTTAGTTATCAGCTCTGATGTGATGGATTGATGTTTATTCCTGGCCAGTATGTTGTAGTGAAAGTGCTTTCCCTTCAGTTTAAAGGGATCAGATGCATCCTGGAAGAATGACCAAGAACCACCAGTCGAGGTAGGCACTACAGGTAGTGACACATGCCAGGTGAAGCATGTGTCACTACCACTCTGTGATTAAACAAATCTGTAATCACTGTAGCTAATGGAAACTGTCGTTTTATAGTTTAAATGATAAGGACAGTCATTTTCTATATTAATATTTTCAGCCATCCCCATACAGACACTCAAATGGATGACAATTTGCCTCCACTCATAGTTAATGTTTGTCAGTCCTGGATTAGCTCATTTGTCTGTGCCACAGACCTCTGTTGCTGTTCAAAAAGGCTTGAGAACACATCAGTGAAACACACCGCTGTAGAAACACCAGACCTGAGCGTGAGGTGCTACCAGAATGTAAACAAAGCTGAGAGGTTGCACATTATCTTGCCTATGTGCAGTTGACTGACTCGTTCCAACTTCAGGAAATTATGGCCTCATGGAGCCTTTGGGGTCAAGTTGTCAGGTCTGGGGTTTCGTTATGAAAAACGTGTCACCCAGCACAGCAGTGTGTTTCACTGATGTGTTTTTGATTGTTTTAGAGCGACTATTGAGCTCTGTTGCACAGTTGAACAAGTTAAGCCAGGACTGCCAGCTGACAGACTTTAACTGTGAGTACAGGCAGTTCACTGTCAGTTTTATTCTCTGTATGGAGATTACTGTAAATAATGTTAATATAGAAAATGCCTTATCCTTTAAAACAGCATTCTCAGTTTTGTTTTCTTTCTTTCTGGCTCTATTGGTGTCTTCGAGTCTTATGTGCAGAGGGCTGAAGATGGATGCAGTAACATGGGATGGGGGCAGGGGTTAGTGTGCCTGTGGTGCAGTAGCATTCACACTACAGTTTGTCGATACCTCCCAGGACCTGACGATGTCCTGTGGAGATTAAACAAGCATTCTAAAATAAGTTGTAGGCTTGGGTTTAGATGTTTTTATATGTTTGTGTGACTTGCCTCCATTTTATCAAGGACTCTTTAGAGCAGGGGTGGCCAGTCCCAGTCCTGCTTGTTTTCCAACTATCCCTACCCACTGCTGATTAGTTGGGTCAGGTGTGCTCAGTCAATCAGATGCACAAGATAGCATTGTCTGTCAACAGTCTGGTGTCCTAAATAAACCCTGCTGTGTCCACAAACTGCCCTTTCTGTCACCTTCCAGATACAGTTTGTCACAGCTTTCTGGAGTGTCAAGAGACTTGCAGAGAGAGTTCAGCTCTTAACAGTTTTTTTAAATAGGTTTCCACTTTACTGACAAATGTTCTGATGTTTTTTTTTTATTTTATTTTTTTATGATGCTGTGTATAAAATACAAAACCTAGAGAAGTAGCAGTTGGTGAATCTTGCAGTGGGACAGACCAGGATGTTCATTTATGAAAAACAAACTAGAAATGTTTGTGTCTGGTGAGGGCCAGAGTCAGAGTGGACTCCAGGGTGTGTTCTTCATACGTCCCTAAACAGATCCAAGATCAGATGAGTAATCCTGGATTTTCTAATGCCTGCTAAGGTTAGCTAAGTATTTTGGCTCTTCAACCCCCTTCAGTGAGTCACTTCCTGCTCTGAGACCCTTTATATCTTTGAAGTTATCTTGTTTACATTGAATAAGCCTGAGAACAAACCTGCTCCCGAGTAGGTTTAAGATTACGTATGTGTTGCCATGACGAGAAGTCCTGTGAGACTTTTGAAGAACTGACATGTTCAGGATAATGTGAAATTGTGGACAAGTTATCCAGCTAACCTGTAAATTCAAGTATGAAGAACACCCCCTAGTTTTACAGTGGGTTGTGTCAGGTTGATTTCTCAGAGGTGTCTTACTGTTGTGATCTGTTGCTGAGAGGAAGCCATGCTTTTTTAACTCTGTTTCTATGAGGCGCTTTGTTTTGTTTTATATTAAACCAAAAGAACAAATTAATTCACAAGAAATACATAACACATATGTGAAGCACTTCAAGTTTTTTAATTGTTGAATCTGGTAACTGCCCTTTCAAGATTCTTATTTAATGAGTAAGTCCTTTAAAAGTAAGATCTCTCTCTCTGTCTCTCTAGGCTTTAGATTATAGTGACGATGAGAAAGAGCAGGAAGCGAAGAGGAAAGTGAAAAACTCCAAAAAGCGGAGGGATGATAGTAATGCAGGTAAACACATGCTGTTGCTCTGCTGTATACTCCATATTTCTGAATGAAGATAATCGTTAGTCTGACTAGTCCTAATCCTTATGTCTTTTTTTTTTTTTTCAGAAAATGCTGCCAGCATTACCCAGAACACCTCACAGCAGCAGCCTGACGTCAGGGGTTCCCCATCAAGACATGCAGGGCCTGCGTTCAGGCACCAGAACCCGAGGAACAAGCAGCCACCGTTCCAACACACACGTCCACCACCACCACCACCCAGACAAGTACATGCGCCTCCCATGTACCTCCCACCTTCCCATGCTTACCCTCCTCCACCTCCTCACCATTTTCCCCCACCCAATGTTCATCTTTACCCCCCTCCTCCATCTTTTTTCAACCCATCTTTCCCCTTACCTCTTTGGCCACCAAACTTTGTCCCATTCGCTGACCTCCCTCCTCCTCCCCCTCCTCCTCCTCCTCCTCCACCACCTCAGTGATTCCCCCCATACACTCTGTACATGTACACTCTTACCTACTGGTAAGATCTTGTTAGAACAATATTATTTGTTTTTAGACTGGACAATCATCCATGCTGATCAATCGCTGACTGTGCTAGTTAATGGTGTGCTTTCATTGATTATAAAATCAAATATAAACAGGGCTGATGGAGCCAGTTGATGTACGTTGACCAACCGCCTCTGCAGTGTTTGTAATTTATCATATGTGTCTCAAGACCTGTGAGAAAACAACTGCCCAACTTGTAAATGACGTGCTCAACGTGTGAGAAACAAGAGCCTGCTACTTAAAGTCTATATGTGTGAACAAGATGTAAGATTCTATCATTTCTCCTGATCTCACTGTCTGAGGTAATGCCAGAATCCAATGGGCACATTTAAATATGCTTGAATGTCAAGCACCTGATCCAACAAGTGAGGGCTCACCTGGCTGAGTTTTGTGTCCTTACTTGACAGCTAAGTTGACAAGAGGAAATGTATGGTCAACTTGATGAAATCCTTAACATTTGTGTATTTGGTCAGACTTTGCTTGAACGAAGAATTGTGTATTCTCTTAGTGTAGACAAGTAGAACTGTCAGGGTGTTGTGCGTCACAGTGCACTGAGTGCATCAGGTCATCGAGTTTTCTCGATACTTCTGACCAAATGTGTTTGAGGCTGTTGCATACACATTAGACATACTAAGTTAGTGCCACTTGTATTCAGTTTTGGGTTAAAATTGTTTGATAAGCAATAATATGTCACAGTTAAACCAGCCTGGATTTTTAGTTTCTTCATTTTTATGTAACTTTAAATTTCAAATGTGAGTTACTGTATGGAGTCCAGACTTCATAACATTGTTGTATTGGCTGGAAATATGCTCTGAAAACCCAACAAGTTGCTCGTGATTTTTTTTTTTTTATACTAGAATATTTTGTAAATAACATTTACGCTATATGAAGGCCATCATTCGGAAACGTCTCTGTGCAAGATGTGCGTCAGTGTTTTGAGCCACATTTGTATAAATAGTTGTTTTCTATGGAGTTAATTGATAGAGCAAAAAGGAGAGTGAATATTGGACTTGTATTCATCAGGTAGATGAGCAACATGGTTGTGCAGTAGTTAGCAATGGTCACCTCAGAAGATTCCTGGGTCAAATCCCAACCAGGGCCTTTTCTATGTGGAGTTTACATATTCTCTCTGTAGCTTAATTAGAGGGTTCTAAATTGCCCCAGAGGGCTGTGTCAGCAGGGGCATCTGGCAGGGTGACCACCCCACCCCAAACACACACACAGCTGGGAGTAGCTAAAAAAGAAATCGCATTTATCTGGTACACATGATTCCAACTGAATGTTGGCTGTGTAAAAAGACGAACATGTTAAGACAGTTATAGATAGTTAATAAGATAATGATGCTAATGTTGCAATTTCGAGCTGTTTCCACTACCCGCAAGTGGCCAAAAAGTCATGTATTGTGTGTGCGCTGTATGTGATTTTTACCATAAACATATTAAACTGATTTTGGTGGAGAGTTGTGGATAAATGTAGCCATCCTGTCATTTGTCGATGACCCACTCTGTTATAGTGTATTCAAAATGACAGCTGTCCAAAAATAAATGTCATTTGATAAATTATTTTGTATTGCACCACTCTCATTTGCCACAAAGTGGTGCTAAAGCTGCATTTCAAAAATTATTATACCAGTACATCTGCAAAATGGAAATTGTGCTTGATTTGTGCCTGTTTTTCTACACAAGCAGTGACTTTGAGCTTATAGACATCTGCAATATGGACCACAGATGATGAGCTCTGAGCTAACTCGATGTACAGTACATCAAATAGCAACATGTATGTTGAATATTGTACACGGTCCCTTACAGATATACAGTTGTAAGATAGACATTTTATATATAAATCATTCATGAAACACTATTTAAGCTGATAAAACACAGTCATAATCATTCATGTCTGTATTGAACACACTCAAACCTAAAAGGTGATGGTGGAAAAAGTAATGGCAACATTATTTTAATAACTGGTTGAACCTTGTTTGGCAGCATAAACATCAGCAAGCTCCTCTTGTAGCTGTGGATTAGACCTGGACAACATTCAGGAGGAATTATGGACCATTCTTCCTGACAGAACAGCTTCAGCTCAGCCATATTCTTAGGATGTCCAGTGTGAAAGGCTCTCTTGAGGTCATTCCACAGCATCTTTATTGGGCTGAGGTCTGGGTTCTGACTGGGCCACTCCAAAAGGTGGATTTTGTGTCTTCAAAGCCATTCTGTAGTAGATTTAGGGTCACTGTTCTGCTGCGTCACCCAGCTTGTTCTGAGCTTCAGCTTTCCAACAGATAAGCTCTGGAATTCATTTCCCCCTCCACAATGGCAAGCGGTGCAGGTTCAGAGGCAGCAAATCAGCCCCAAATCATGATGCTTGCCTCTAAAGTACTTTACTGTTGGGATGTTTTCATGTTGGCATGAAGCTCTCTTTTTATGCCATACATAGTGCTGCAGGTTCTTCCCAAAAAATGTTATCTTCATTGCATCTGTCCACAGGACATTTTCCCAGTTGTGTTGTGGAGTGTTAAGGTGGTCTTTGGCAAACTTCAGGTATACTGCAATGTTGTTTTTGGAAAGCAGTGGCTTCCTCTGTGGTGTCCTGCCATGGATACCATGCCTGTTTAATATTTTGCATATGGATGACTTATGAACAGAGGTGTTAACCAACTCCAATAGAGCCTTCAAGTCCTTAGCTATTACTCTGTGGTTCTTTTTTTACCTCATTGTGCATTGTGCCTTTGGACTGATCTTGGCTGGGCACCCACTTCTATGAAGAGTAGCCACAGTACCAAATTGTCTCCATTTATAGACATTAGACAGTATGTCTAACTGTGGAACGATGAATATCTAAAGTCTTTGTGATGTTTCTGTAGCCCTTTTCAGCTACATATAAATCAACAACTCTTGATCGTAGGTTTTCTGAGATCTCCTTTTTGCAAGGCCTGGCTCACATCAGCTGATGCTACTTATGAACAGCACACTGACACTGTTTGAGTGTTTTTATAAGTCAAGATAGTTCTAAACCACACCTCCATTCTCATTCCATTGATTGGACTCCAGGTTTGCTAACACCAGACTCTAGTTGAGGTTTAGTGACATTAGAAGCCTGGTGTTGCCATTACTTTTTCCACCTTCACTTTGTATGTCGCTCCCCCATGATCCTGGTTACGATAAGCAGTATAGATAATGGATGGATGATATTTGTGACTTTGGTCAAGATCACATCACATTTCATGACCAATTGATGCAGAAAACCAGGAAAGTATTTTTTTCTTGAGACTGGAAATTTAAATAAATAAAAATAAAATGGAACAAGGAACCCCAGCTAGACTGAGGTCACAAGCCAAAACAATTGGAAACCACTGGTACATACTGTAAAAGTGTGTTGTGTTTTATAAGCTTATTCTTTGTTTTTTGTATAAAGTCTAACTCTGCAAAATGACTTAGCAAAATGCTATAGCTATCATATAAATATTAAACACTCAAGAAAAGAATGTCTAAATGTTACTTGTACAAATTTATTTGAGATTTTTTTTTATCCCTTCCTTATGTCCCCTCAGTCTGTGAATGAGTTCAACATCTGTATTAACAGTTGATAACAGAGCTGTTGGCCTTTTTTAAAAGTTTAAACCTGCAGTGTTGTAAAGCATGTATTACTTCTCTATACAAATGCTGAATAGAATGGTGGTGGGTGCATATGTTTTCCACTCTTTATAATTTCATTGTATTAGATGATTACTAGTATTACTAAAGCTCACTAATTAACACAGTCTCTTGTCTCTTATAACAGAGGTGCTAGTAGGTGAATTTTGTTACCATTTGACAAAGCCAGGCTAGACGTTTGCCCATTTCCAGGCTTTGTGCTAAGGTAAGCTAACCAGCTGCAGGTTGTAGTCTTATTTTTGAAGTTCATCAATCCCAGTAGGTCAAACAATGGACTCTAGCTGGAGTATGTCAAATGTGCTGCTGCTGCATTCATTGTGATATGTATTAAGATTCCCATTAGCAACACGTTACTTCTGGCTTTGTACTTGTTGCCATTCTCAAGCCGGTGCATCACAGTCTGAATGACTCTTTTAACCTAGTTATGTGCAATATACAGTAGTTCATGTTGTCCTCTGAACATTTTGAAAACCCTCTAACCCTCACTTTGTTTGGCTGGATCCTGATCCCTCCCAGCCCCTTCATTGTCCCTCTCTCCCTTGCACATTAATTTCAATTAAGGTACATGTTGTTGCAGCTGAGTGGAGATCATATAGATTTTATTTAATACATTTACTAATAATGAACTTTTTACACATTGCAGCAATCAGTATGATGAAATCCAGTAAAAGTGCAGTGACAGTGACACCTCAAGAATTTTAATGTCAGTGTGTTTCAAAGAAATATCCCCACGTCTTATTTTTATTACAGCAGGAAGTTGAAAGATTCTCAGCTGTATTACAGTAAGATAACTGTTGAATAAAACAGACAAACAAACAAAAATAGATTTAGATTGACTGATCATGGATTTATTGCAGACGGAAAGTACAGGATTATTGTTACAGAGTCCACACATAAAGGAGCTCTTCGTTGACCTGTCAGCAACACATGCCAGATATTTAGAAACTAGTCCAATATATAATAATATAAATATATAACCCTTCAATTAACTGAATGAGAGCAGTCATTAATCAGCAAAGCTGTATAAATTACACACATTTACAAACATTTACATACATTAATGAACTTGGCAGTATAAATGAAAACTATAATTTGTGGATTTCCCCATGGCTCAATCCTTGGGCCACATTATGCATAACAATACAAGCAATTATGAATATTATGTATTTTCAACAATTTTGAATTGATGAAATCTGTTTAACACCTTTTCCCCAGGTTTTACTCAAACTACTTCAGCTCATTTACAATAGAGCTGCCAACAACAAAGATACAGATAAATTACTGCTGCTTATCTCTAAATTTCTTAGTAGTTTAAGACTACAATACATCTCTGACTGTTTTTTGGCTTTCCTGGTCATTTGATGTCAGCCTTCTAACTATTCCCAGACCCCAAACTAAACAGGTACATATTAACAGCAATAAGCTTCACCTTCATTCACTACAGATATACAGTAGAATAGACTTCCAGAAGATGTTAAACTTGGCCCGGCATTGACTATCTTCTAATCCAGGTTTAAAAATTTTATATATGTTTAAGGCTTTACATTCTGTCTGAACCATAAGCATTTTCCATATTGCACTGAAAATTCAACCTATCTTGTACTTTCTTTTTCATTTCAGTTACTGTAAAATTAGTTCTGCTCTTATAATAAAGATTTTGATGTTGTCTTTTTGATTGTTGTTTTAATTATTGAATCCACTTTTGATTTTACTTTGTGTATACTGTACAATACAAATAAACTTGCTTTGCTTTGCAATCAGTGCAGAGAAACTCCACCTTTAAAGCTGTGTTTTTGCATATTTCACTCAAGCAATGTAAAACAGTTTAGTGCAAATGCACATGCAAATTAAACAGGCACTGACTGAGCAGAACTACAGGGATGCTTCTTAATTCAGTCTGCATTTCAGGTACCCACAGACTAGAAATGTTTTATTTGTTTTATCTCTTCCTAAGACAGTTCATCCATTTTAGCTTGCCCAGGTTGTGCAGGTGGTAAAAGCAGTAAGTGGTCGAGCTTAGCAGAACATACCATAAATTAAACATGTAGACCGCACAAAAGTGTGCCACCTCTAATCCGTGGTCTCTAAACACAAGAGCAACTGCTGGGAGGTAACAAATCACCCCATAGACCTGAATCATTACAACCATGATGAAAGCTTTCTTTTTCATCAGATAATTCAGACTTTCTTTATTGATTTGTCTTCCCTCTCTAGCATTCCTTCCCCTTTCCCCCCTTCCGTCACCTGGAGGGGGGCGGATTAGGGCTCTGAGGATGGATGCACAGCAGAGGGAATTGATGACAAAAATGAGGAGGAATATAGTGCACTGGAATAACAGGAATTGAGCGACATAGTCCTTTTGAATCACACACAGGGCAATGGCCACAGAACAAGTAATAAAAACAGATATCCATGCTGAAGCTAATATGGCTACCCGATAACGCAGGGGCCTGTACATGAGAAAGACAATGGGATGTTCCACAGCCAGGTAGCGTTCTACACAGATGAGGCACTGGAACAGTGGACGGCCAAATGCCACAAGACAGAAGAGAAAACTCCATGTGTACTGAGAGAATTGATGGAAGAGGAAGATGCCTGACATGGCCAAAAGGTTGGCAAGGTCAACAATTAAATCAGTGATCAACATGTTGCAGCTAGACAAATCTGTCTTCTTTGTGATTGGAGGGGAAGCCAACAGCCACAAGGTCCAGCTTTTCAGAAACAAACCAAACAGGGAGGTGCCGATTC